GCACTGTGTTACTCTGAAACAGTTAATATTTTAAATAAAAAAATGCACTACAAAAAAGTAGCCACTAAATATTTAAATTCACAAGACAATCTTTATATCCAGCAGTAAAAAATAAATATGTACCTCAGGGGACGGGTAGGCTTGTATTGATGAACACAGATCCTCGAAGGGGGCTCTGTGTGGCTGAGATAAAGACAGAGGTCATCTTCAACAGTGAGACAGACCCTGTATTTGTTTTTCAGTAAGGTCAGTGCTAAAAAGCCAGCTACACTCAGGTAGGTGGACGAAAATGGCCTAAGCGCTTTCAGTGCTGCAACTGACAGCTCTGGATATTCTTCTCACACAGAAATCCAGTAGTTAGGAAGAGGCTGTTCGGAAATCCCAGCATCAATGTCTCATCACAGGAAAGGTCCATTAACATTTCTTTCACTGTAAGTGACATAACAGCACTTCTACATTAAAGGGATTTCTAATCCACACCTCTGTTTTCTGATCCTTTTCAGGGAAGTACTCCTGAAACTGTAGTTTAAGGCTTTCCAGGTGGCTGATGATAATGGGTTGCAAGTCATGCTTTGGTAAGGCATTTTCATCCAAAAAGTCATCCAGTAAAAAAACCTTTCAAAATTGCCAGTATCCACACACATACCATAAGGAAAGTTTCTTGCTCCAGCTGTCAATTTTGTCAGAGAGAGAAGTGAGGTATTGAACTCATTTAGGCATTCAAAAATGTCTGCCAGGTAAGCCAGCAAAGCAAGCCACTTAGTATCTGCAAACTTTTCAGCCAGCAGGGAATCTTCATCTGAACTCAAACAAACATTTGAAAACCTTTCCCCGAGACAGCCACCAAACTTTTCTGTGATGAAGTAACTGATGGTGCTCAACTCCCATCTCACCACACAAAGCTCCAAACAGATATACACTTGTTGAGCTGCTCTTGATTAAGTTGACTGTGCAAACAGCTTCATCATGAACTTGTTTTAGAACAGTTGGCTTTTTGTTGTTGTTGCAAATAGGGCTTGCCTGTGTATAAAACGGTGCATCCAAACTGCTTGCGGTGCAACAGCCTGCACTCGGGTGACTGGCCCGCTGTTTTTTCCAGTTATTGCAGAAATACTGTCACTGCCAATTCCTACACAGCACTGCCATTCCAAGCCAGAACCAGAAACAAAAGCATCGAAAAGTGCAAAGAGCTGTTCCCATGTAGCACGCTGTAGTAATGGCCGGCAGAACAAAAATTCCTCTTGGAGTTTTTCATCGTTCTCAAATTTTACATATGTCAGCACCTGAACAGTCCCCGACACATCTGTTGTTTCATCAAGTTGAATGGGAAAAAAAGAACTTTGCTTGATTTTGGCAATCACTTGTTTAGTCACATCATTTGCCATACTGTGAATACACCTGGCAATAGTGTCATTAGACAGGGGAATTGAATCAAGTTGAGTCGCAGCACCTTGCCCCAATATAATCAAATCATTCCTTGGCACATGGCAGAAAACAAGCTTCTTCAGTAGAGTGTGGTTTCCCAGTTTTACCTATCCAGTATGACACAGCAGAAGATGCCTCAAGGACTCTCTCATTTGTTGTAGCTCCCAAACTCAGTACTCTCTTCTGGCCCTGTAGCTCTCTCAGCTTTTGCTGAAGAAAAAAAGAAATCAAGTAGTTTTGTTTGAATAGAACTGCACCATGTCTCCAAATGGGTGCCACATTTTAGATGGTTTTAAGCTCTCCTTTGCCAGAACTTCACCATACACCAGACACTGTGATCATGGCTCCCCCTCAAAATCAGCCCAGTAAATCCCTATTCCAAATACTTCTAATTGTATTTTTGGTTTCCTGGTATTTTACTGCTGCTTAGATCCTCATTGTGAGCTCTTCTTTTGCTGCAAGTGGCAGCTGACTCCCATTCATTGCCTCCCTTTCCTCCACCTTTCTTCAGAAAACAGTCCCTTGCTAAAATTATTTCTACAGCAACTTTTCAAACTGGCTTTAACTACAACACGTGCTGATTCCTTGCTAGGTGCTGAGTAGAGGAAGTGATGCACAGAGCTGGGGTTAAGAGGTGGGAAGCAGGGCAACTACCTGTGGCCCCATGCCACAGGGTGCGCAAAGCTAAGTTGCTCAGGCTTGAAGCCCTGCTGTGGAGGAGCTTGGGCTCTGGCTGTCAGCCTTGCCATGTGCAGAGCTGAAATTTGTGGTATGAAACTCAGGGGGGCAGGTGCCCCCCACCCTCCCTAAATGCCCCCCCCTGTGGCTTCAGTCTGAACCTGATGATTGCAGGACTCAGGGTGGGGCTTTCTGCCCTGGTTCCTTGCCAGTCTAACGCTGGCCCTGACGACCCCCTTAAAACGGGGTAGCAACCCGCTTTGGGGTTGCAACCCACACTTTGAGAACTGCTGCTATAAAGCGTTTTCCTGTTATGTGCACAATTTATTTTTCTGTCTCCTTCCAGGGCCAAACATATGTTAGGAGACAGAGAAAAGTACACTGTCACTCAGAGCTTCTCTTTCCTTATTGAGAAATCTGTATGGAAATAGCAAAAGAAGCTTCTCAAATAGGGAATGTGAAAACAAGCTAACAAGATTAATGCAAAGTCCTTCAGGCAAGCAGTTACCTTGTTTTCATTACTCCTCATTGCGAAGGAAATGTTCATTGTTATTTTTCATTGAGAATTTTTGAGATACAGTAAAGGAAGAGAAGTACAAATAAATAAGAAAACCTCTCCCCACCTTGCAACTTGCCTTGGAGAGGAAGAGAAGGTGTGTGGGGGGTAGTGTGTGTATATTTGTTTTTTTGTTGAGTGTGTGTGTGTGTGTGTGTGTGTGTACACATAAAAGGGAATATTAAAATACCATTTCACAGGGGAGCTGTGAGAATATTACCTGCCTTTTTATCTGTACAAGTCCCATCTGTGTATAAAGAAAATAAAACATGTTAATTAAAAACATGACTAAACTGCCACACAGAAATGTTACTAAAGCTCATCTAAAAATAATGTTAAAAGTTGAGTTCCTTTTCTATTTAAAACAATGGGAAAGAGATTCTATCATTGTTAATCTGTTTCCAAGAAAAGATGGCAGCAGCGGAATGAGAGGTTTTTTATTTCTATAAATATAATTTTAATTTTCTCTTTAAAAATATCAGTGTTGTAGTCTATGATACTAATTATATGATTCTGAAATTTTGAAACATTGCTGGAGTTTCCCTTTAAACATCAGTTTATTTTCAGGAGAAGTAAAATACATTATTTTATAAATAGTGTTTGCATATGGAGCCCAGTCCTGAAAATTGCTGAGAGCCTTCTATAAGGTGATACTCTGCACCTCGCATGACTGAGCACATAGAGTTTCCAAACAGAATATAAGACTTTTAGGGCACAATTCTCACAAGTGCCCAAAAAGCGCCATCTGTAATTGAGGTGGGGAGTCACAAAGGAGCAATTTATGATTCCCTGACTCTGGTGCTAGTAGTGCTACATGGCCCCAATCATGACATAATTTAGAGCTGCCTCAATATGTACTCCTTTTCCTCCCAGCCATGCTCCTAAACCAGATTGCCGTGGGGAATGTACAGGCAGGCCTCAACTTTATGATGTGCTACTTAAGACGAACATCACTTACAACATTTCTGAATTGACATACTGATTCGACTTACGACCATTGGCTTCGATGCTCAGTCCCAATAGTGTGTATTGCAGTTCCAAGTTACAATGTTTCGACTTACTACGCAATTTTCAGGAACCAATTGTGTCGTAAATCCAAGGACTGCCTGTATTCGGTTGTGTATTCTACATCCCCAGTGATGCTGCCACCCTGGCAGAATTCCCAGCAGACTTGAGAAGCCCAAGGCTCTACTGGTGCAAAGAATCTGACAGGGCCTAGGATATAGCCATAATGCAGAGTAGGTTACTACCTAATATATGATAATGAAAATAATTATAATAAAATAAGCCTGATTCTGCAATCCTAGTCTACACTGAGTAATGCATACTCCTGCAAGTCATTCCCTTGAGTAAAGGTTGCAGAATCCATCCCATAGTTTCTCTGCATTAAGAATTTCAGGAAGGAATTTTAAAGGATAGTAGATGCTAATGGAGAAATAGATTTCTACACTATAATCCCATGCCATCAAAAGTCAATAAAACTTATAAAAGGCAAACTATTTAACTGAGATGATGCAAGTAGCAGGGATTTAAATACTGATCTGCAGTTTGTGACTTTAGCCTATGGTCCTGTAAATAGTCTCATAGACATGTTTCACTTTAGCTAAGGAGAACTATATTGCAAGGAGTATTGCACATCCACATTTTCTACAAAGTCCAGTCACACTCTAGAGTGGTTCTCCCACATTATTTCAACTTGAGAATTGAAGTGAGAGCAGAAAAATCAATGAGGGGCATGATCAATATGAGTGACCTAATGTGTTGTATTATTTTGCTCAATTAAATTTCTATTACATAGCTTAATCCAGACAACTGACAGGTAAAAGAGGAACAAAAATGATAGCTAGATAAAGTTAATCTAATAAAGAACCAAATGATTTTCAGCAGTCAACTGAAGCAGCTAATAATGCATCTAGACCTGTATTAAAATAGTTTCCTAGATATACCTGATACATCATGGCCTGTATTTATTGTCCAGAACAGAAACCTAATAACTGTTTAGTATGAGTACAGAATTGTTCTGAACAACTGCATGAAGTTATGAGAGCAGAAAAAAGCTGAATGTCTCAGAAATACTCCAAATGTCATTTTTGAACACAACAAATACCTTCCAAAATTCCCTGCAATCTCATATTAAAGAACCCAAAGCCTCTACAATTAGAAATAGAAGGCTTGCAGGATGTATGTGCAAGTGCTTGATTCTAGCTGTTAATTGATACAGTATTCTGAAGTTTATGGAAGTATGAGAAAAGAAGTTCCAAATATTTGATGTAATGCTGTAGCCTTTTAGACACCTACAGTAAACCACTAACTGTGCCCTTTTTGCTCTCTTTTTCTACAGGTATTCCCAGTATTTCCAGTATTGGTAGTAAGTAATAAAAAGCAAATCTAGACTAGCTTTGCTGTGTTATTCAGCTTCTTAGCTCTATTTTCCCAACATCCATTTCTGTTGTAGATAATGTTTCACTGAAATGTGCTTTACGGTAAGGGGACTATATTATTGACCTTGCCATGCTGCATTTACATGTAACTGCATTATGTGATCAAAGAGAATATGATATGTAGCTCATGACAGTACATCTGTCTGAAAACACAGCTTCTTGATCAGCAAATAAAAGCGTTAGCATTACAAATTGGAACATCAGGATGGCATTGGGTAGAAAAATATTATCAAGTACATTTTCTAAAACATCAAACTTTATTAATACCCAAGAAGAGTAGAGCCCTTAAAGCTATATATACAAATAGACAAATATAAGGGGAAATGGAAGAATGCACTAAAATGTATTTCTTTTTGTTTTTAATCTAGTGAATGTAATGTATCAATCGGAGTCTTTCAATTGATTCATAGATTCCAAAGCCAGACAGGGACAATGGTGATCATTTAACGTGACCTTGTATAACACAGGCCATAGAGCTAAACTAGAGAATATCTTTTAATTGACATCAGTGGACTCTAGCTCAGGCCTTGAACAGAATAAATAGGTTCTTTGTTGAGATTCATTTTATTGTATAAAATGAAAACATTTAAAACAGCTAATAAAATACAAAATTGCCTTTTTAAAAAAATCAGCTATTATAAATAAAAACAATGCAAAAAAATAAGAATATGGTCTTTGAGTCAAACCATCCGACAGTTGTGAAGCGGGTATAGTCATGGAATGATAGCTAATTAGAAATAAAGCGCTGAAGCAGAAAAGGTATCATTCAGTAGCTGAGTGAAAGCCTCTGCTTTGCATAGGCTTTAGGCACAGATTTTGTGCTCTGCAGGTCTATCACAATTTTAGCAGTGTCAAAAAAAGATTTGCAATACCTGATATCTGTCTGAAAAGCAATATTCTAATAATTTGGATAAAGCAGCTGCCTTGCTTCTTATAAATGCGTGGTCAGGTCTTTCCATTTATAAATCAGTTCAGTTTACTTAAGCGCATGAACAGGCTTAGGCACTGATTTGTTAAGCACTAGACAGCATATTAAATGCCATCAAAACTAGCCTCTTTGTAAAGGGGAGTAGTGTTTCATGTCCATTTAGATGCCAGCTTAATCCTATCGCATCCAGTTTGCCACCTTAAATAGCAAAACAGCATCAACAACAACTTGCCAATGAAAGTCTTCAGTTTTGAGAGTCTAATTTTTCTGCTTTAGTGTCTCCCTCGACATTTGCCTCACTGCAAATGCACAATGATGTGCTACTTTCACAACCTTGACAATTGCATTTGCACATGTATTTTGTATCCAAAAAAGGAACTAAATAAAAGGCAATAAAAAGAGATTATCAGACTATTATTATCTGGAATCCCACAATCATAAGTAACAGAAATGGATAAATGGCAAAATAGCTTTTTGGAGCTCAGTTGTGCTACTGTTTGTCAATACTGTGTTGCATGGACTACATCGTTGTGATTTTCACTTTACGCTCCATACAGCCTTCTTCACCACATTCACCATCTCTGAGCATCAGCAGATGTTGGCCTTTGAATACTTAATAGGGAAACTCAAATATTTTTTTAATCAATGGTGACCTGAAAGGATGCATTGTTGACCTCTTAATTCTGTGAACTTTTACAGTGAGGTGATTGGTGTCATTTACTTATTAAAATAGACAACATTCAGTTTAACATCCCTTAGGAAATACAGTAGTTACTGCAAGTCTGTGTATTATCTTAAATATATCTGGTATAGATGTCCTTTGAATGAGATGAGGCAGGGTTCAACAAATTTTCCTACCCATGTGGAATGCATGAAGCATGAGCACCAATTTATGAGTACACAAAGAGATGACTACATTGTTTGGCTTCTACCCACTACATTCCTCCTCCCCGACAGGGGTATTGAGTAGCTCGGGGGGAAAAGTGGCTGTTCATAGCACAATTTTCTAAAGGCCTTTCCTATATGATAGAAATAACAGAATTGTTGTTAAACAATGGAGAGCCCCTTGACTTCTTGATTCTACTCCACTATGTAACTATGTTTTAACAGAATTACAATCAATACTTAAAAAACAAACATGATTAATTATTTGAGGCTGCTTTAATGGATTCTGCATGATTTCTTTTCTTTTTGTCTATGCTAATACAATATTTGTGTTCATAAGGGTAGATTTCTGTCCTCAGCCGGGGACAGGAAATTATTCTCAGGTGAGACCGTTTTTTGCCTGCTATGAAACAATAAACTGGTGTATTGGCTTTTGTATGCTTCAAGCTTTTTCCAGTTTAATACGGAAAAAATGAACACAAAACTGCCAACATACAAAAAAAATGTCACTGCAACAGATGTTCATGTAACACCCATAAGACTTTTACGATCAAAGCATGCCCAAAGAAAAATCAACGATGTATATATTTATCTTTGTGTACATATATGTATAATACTGTGTTCTCTTTGATCTCAAAGCATCTCATATTAAAGCAGCATATCATTAAAGTTTAAACACAAAGAAAGAGTGGTCATTAAGTAAACATCCTTTCTGATCATCTACACACACAAAAAAAATTAAACCAGAGCTTTCCCATTAAGGTCATTTGTACCTGCTGTTGTCTATCAATTGAGTAATAGGTTCTTTGATCATTTCCAGCATACTTGATTCCAGTGCTGGTCTTTACAGCATTTTTCAGCCGTAGCTGGAAAAATATTGGTGAGATTGTTAGCAATTTATGAATCCCAAAACCATTTCATAATTATGTAAGCTTTTATGATCAGTTATGCCTTCATCCAAATTTGTAAATATTATACAAAAAGTTACTCTGACTTACTTTCAACAATAATTGTATGTAGGCAAATATATTAAAATGTATTTTATTGTGACCAAATAGCAAAGTTATTAGCTTGTACCTGTATGCCTGACTTTAAAAAACTTTAATCTTCTATCAGATAACTTCTATCCTTATTCCTGTGGAGCATAATTTCACTAATTATGCTAAACAGTTTGTTATAAAGAGTATAATTAGACATGGAATAGGATTGACATGATGTGCAAATAGCTTTGTGTGGGTGATTATCACCTCTGAAGCCTGCTGGTGGCAGATGAGTCAGAGTTTAGCGACAGACCATATATTGAAATGCAAGATGCAATCAAGATAATCAAATGGCATTTTATGTTTTGTTTTGAGTTTGTTTTTTGTTTTTCTAATTGCCAATTTCAAATAAACAGAAATCTCTCTTGGAATGATAACCAATTCAAGACACAAAAGTAAAAAGATTGTATTGGCATGACTTTCATGCATTGCTTTCATAACCTTAAAATATCAGCTGGGTGGTTTTCAGGCTTGGCAACAGTGTCAGGATGAACACTTTTTTTTAAGTGGTCTCAGATATGCTTATACGAATTTGCATGTTACCCAAGGTTTTTGCTAACAAACAGTTGAGTTCCAGTTCTCTCATTATTTACATCACTGTAAATATTATGGTCCTGATATCATGCACCACTGAAGTCAGTAGGAAGTTTTGTCATTAACTTTAGGGGTTGCACGATTGAGCCCTTTTTGTAGAGCCAAGTTCTAGTCCTGAATAGACACATGCAATCTCCATTAACTTAAAGTAGGAGATTCAACGTGCATAATGAAGTGCAGAATTTGGCCCTTGCTTATTAATCTCTATTATTATTTGAGTTGATCTATTAGTGCATTAAGAAAAAGTTTCTCCCAGAAATCCATCACCCTGACAAGAGACTTCTCAAATGTTTTTCTCCTTGAAGACATTTGAAACTGGCTTGATATTATACAGATGTTGGTTTTGACACAGCAACAACATATTCTGATTTAGGTTTTGTTTGATACAAATGTGAATTGTGAATAAAATAACAAGGTTAATCATCTTCTTAGCCAAGCATTATTATTAATCATCATAGTCATAACATCAAAGAAAGCTACAGTATTTGTCCCCACACTCCCTCTGCCTTTGCTTTAATACTTCTAAATCCCAAAAATAAGTTTAATTTTAATTGCTCTTTAACTAATTAGGTTTTCTAGAATATAAAAAATTAATTGTGCAAGTAGAGCATTAATTTGAACTCCAGATCTGGAGGAAAACCTTAATTTCCCATATGAAAAGAGTTTGGGAGTCTTTTATACCATTTCTTCAGTAAGTCTCATCACAAATCTATTTCACATTTGTACAACCTACAGCACTTCCTGAAATTGAATGAGCAAGGGAACTTAACAACTACTTAACCCTGAAAGAGAAAATTCCCATGTGGGGTGACAGTAGTTTAGGAGAATGTATTTGCTGCAACATTGTGAAAGGTAAACTACAAAAGTTTTATTGGGGCGCAAAAAACATTTTTTTTTCACCAGATCCACCAACATCACACATCTGAAGAGCCTGGCTTTAGCCATCAGTAGACACAGCCAATGGCACTTCAATATTTTTCACATTCACCATTTTTGAAGGTGCAATCTTTATCACCTCCAGCTAATTTCAAAGTTACCATGTCAGAAAGATTCTTTTTGCAGCACTATTTTAACTGCCTACACTATAGGAACTGCACTGCTGTCTTCAGTTTAATTGTTAATGAGGTAAAAGCAATCAAATGATGAGACACTGGAGAAAGTATGAGAATGTCAGCAAGCATTTAATCTGTGCAGTGCTGGCTGTTCTTATTGCAAAGCCACAGAAAAATGTATAGCTAAGATGACTAAAAGAATATGAAATTTTTCTCTACCACTCTTTCCCCACCTCCACCTCTTCCTCCTCCTTCCTAACAATATTCAGTGAATTCCATAGAGTATAGAAGACTGAACTCTCCAAATCAGCTCTCTGACTTTTAATCAGATCCTGATTTCAGAGCGAGCGAGAGAGATCTTCTGCACCACAGTCTGATACACCAGGTCTTCAACACTTAACAGCCAATTTCACCAGTTCTGTAATAGA